AACAAAGCACTCCTTAAAACACTGTAGAAGACGTAAGAAAAAAATTAATCCAAACAGCTCCTCAGTTCCTCTTGTAACAGCAGTAATAACTTTTTTAACAAGTAATATCACACCTACAAAGACACTGAATTAAGAACAGAACATCCCTACAACATTTACAGAGCATACCATGCCCATTTATGCAGATACACATATATATATATATATATATATATATATATATATAGATGAGATACACATTGTTTTCTAAAAGTCACAAAGCACTGATTTATATGACTGACTCAGTACAAAAGGTGTAGAGCCTAGAAAACACTGAGCCTCTTCTCAACGTAAAGGAACCTTTATTTTTCCAAACTATCATAAACTCTGCCTGCCAGAGCTATTTCCATCATTACTATGTTGGATGCAGATATTAAGCTAAACAGATAAGTGCAGAAAGAGGAGCAGTTAAGATGCATATATAAATTGCATTTCCTACCTGAATTATTGACATCCTATTAACCGGAGTCTCTGTGGTATTAGTCACTGTCCCCGTGAAGCTTGTGTGACAGCCAACATGTCCTTGAGGAACAGTCAGGTTGTTGGAGGTGGGTTTGAGGTACATGACCTCAGACCTGGGGGAGCTGAGGGGCAGGCGTGTCTGATAATTGAAATACATAGGGGACGTGGCGAGGGAGGGGCTGCTCACCACGTTCATGACGTTCATGGCATCCCTCTCCTCCACCTCGCTCTGCACCAGCATGATGTCATTCTTGTTGATCTTCTTCTTCTTGCTCTTGCCCAGCTGGGGGTGAGAGTACTCGGCAATCCGGCAGTTGTAAGTCCTGATCTCCTTGTTCTCTTGCTTGCACTTGACAGCAATGGTGATCATGGCTGCCAGAAGCATGATGGAAATTATGCTGAGGGTGACTATTAGGGGCAAGGACATGTCCCAGCTGTGTTGCTCTTCGTTGATCCTGGGTTCGCCTTCTGGAAGGGGTCCTGTGTAAGCCTTAATGATGATTTTAGCTACAGCAGAGAGTGTGGGCTTCCCATGGTCGATGACCTTAACAATAAGCTCTACAACTGGGGCCACTTCTTCCCAGAAAGGATGCACGGTTCTGATCTCCCCAGTGACAGCATCCATCTCAAACAAATGCTCTTCATTCCCATCAGAAATCTCATAGGACAGGCGACCGCTTTCTCCGTAGTCATTGTCCACGGCTCTCACTGTGGTCACTATGTGCCCAACACCCACGTTTCTAGGAACGTGAATCTCAGCAGTGTCATTTTGCAGGAGAGGTAACACTATGACCGGAGCATTGTCATTGACATCTAATACACTAACCCTGACAGTGGCATTACTCTCTAGATGAGGGGACCCTGAATCCTTTGCCAAAACTTTAAATTCAAAATATTTTGTCTGCTCATAATTGAATGACCTTAAAGCATATATTGCACCATTTGTGGGATTGACAGACACATAGGTGTAAATAGACACATCTCCAACATTGGATGGTAAAATAGAATAAGACACAGTTCCATTTTGACCTAGGTCTGGATCATGAGCCAGAACTGAGCCTAAATACTCCCCAGGAATGTTATTCTCTGGAACCTGTAGGAGGTACACTGCTTTTGTGAAGCGAGGGGCATTATCATTTTCATCCAAGATCTTTACAGTAAATGATTTAGAAGAATTCAAAGGAGGAATCCCATTGTCTTTGGCTACTATCGTTATGTTGTACTCATCTTGTACCTCTCTGTCTAATGGCCTATCTGTAACTACTGTGTAAAAATTGTCATAGTTTTCCTCCAGTTTGAAAGGCACATTACCCAATACCCTGCACTGAGGCTGGCCATTTCTCCCCGAATCCCTGTCAGTGACCCTCACCAATGCTATGACAGTTCCTGGGGGGGCAGCTTCACTGACGGCCCCCTGTCGAACAGAAACAAAACCTATTGATGGCCAATTATCATTCCTATCTATCACTTTAACCGTGATTTTACAGTGTCCAGGGATTGGGTTTGGTCCTAGGTCCTTTGCCTGAACATCAATCTCTATAATTGGGCTTTCTTCATAGTCAATTTCCCCCTGAATCTTGATAACACCTGTTCTGGGGTCAATGGCAAACAACTCCCGGATCCTGTCAGGAGTGTATCCACTAAATGAATAAACCACCTGTCCATTGCTTCCTTCATCTGGATCTGTGGCGTTTAAATCTATCAAAACTTTTCCCATAGGTGCATTTTCAGGTATCTCGATTACATATGAAGGCTGTTCAAACACTGGACTATTGTCATTCGAATCCATGACTTTAACATTAATTTGCATTGTCCCTGATCTTGGATATTCCCCTCCATCAGTTGCTGTTAATATTAGAGTGTGATGGCTCCGCTCCTCCCTGTCTAAAGGTCTCTGAATAACTAACTCTGGGAATTTAGTCCCGTCTCCTCTAGATTTCACATCCAGAGAAAATATATTATAATCGTCACGCGTAAGCTGGTAGGTTTTCAGTCCGTTTTCCCCTGAGTCTGGGTCGTGCGCGCTTGTTAGTGGAAAGCGGGTACCGGGCGCAGCATTCTCGGAAATGTCAATATCTATCTGATCCGAAGGAAAGGTGGGCGAATTATCGTTTATGTCTTGTATGTCCACCTTAATCATGCATATCTCTTTATCGTTGGCAAACACTTCCATAGAGAGTTGGCACTTGGGGATTCGTCGACACAGTGTTTCTCTGTCGATCCGCTGCTTAGTATAAAGCAGTCCGCTTTCTGGATCCACGTCTATGAGGTGCGGGGCGGAGTTTTCCAACACCCTGAAGTTTGATTTCTTACCCCTCTCTCCCGGTCCAAGTCTGGCATCTTTGGCAATGTTCCCAATCACGGTCCCTGGTCCCTGCTCCTCCGGAACAGAATAATTTAAATTTTTCAAAGACAGGGCTTGAGCCCACAGCATTAAGAAGTAAAAAATAGAAAGATACATCCTTTGCAGCATAAGCGCTTTTATTTTTTCAGTGCGTCTCACGCTTCAGACCTGTTGATTTGCGAAGTGAACTGAAAATCCCTACCTTATAGAGTCATCAGATCGATGCAACATTACAAGAAAAAACAGGACAAACTCATTTCCTCGTAGATTTTTGTTATTGTTTTTTCTCCTTTCCTCGATCTCTTCTTATCTTTCGGCTTCGTCTTTATTTCAAACGGCGATGCCGTACACCTAATTTAAATTCATCTGAACACCCAGACTCCGTGGTGCCATAATCACAATCCTTGTCCTCGGAATGAAACGGCAGCAAAGCGTGCGCTGGTCTGAAATACAAAGGAAATCAAATGTTCCGCAATCAGTACAGAAAATACAGTTACGCACGAGCAGTTTGTCACCTGCTGGTTCCTATTACCATTTGAGTAAAGGATCAAAAAATGCCTGTGCGTAATATATATATATATATATATATATATATATATATATATATATATATATATATATATATATATATATATAGTATATACATATATATGTGTGTGTGTGTGTGTGTGAGGGTGCATATATATGTGTGGATGTGTGTAGTGTAAATGTGTGACCCATCTAAATCATACAGGTCAGTATTGTAAATGAACAATGTAAAATAAGTCTCACATTAAGACATATATTGATTGGCTGTGACCATACCTGTCTGAAAGTGGTCCAATTCACAAAAATGCGTTCAGGTCTGGTTAATTTACGCATTGCCAAATCGACACAATCAGACTACTTAAGGACACCAGCACTATGAAATACAAAACAAAAATTCAGAGGACTGCAGTTTCTGCTATGATTTCCGACCTGGGGCTTGTTATAAGCTGTTGCTTTTTTTTATATATATATATATATATATATATATATATATATATATATATATATATATATATATATATATATACACACATATATATATGTGTGTGTGTGTGTGTATATTATGAGACTGTGTCTGTTGGGTCTATTGGAGCGCAAATGTACTTACACAGTTAAAGGAATGGCATTACAAATTAAATATAGAATATAAACTTACCTTCCAACACCCGGTATCAAATTTCAGCAGAAATTCCAAAATTGAAACTGCAATGTGTCTACCTCCAGTTTCTTCGGGATTAAAATCCCACGACCTGAAACGCTTGTCACTGTACAAGTAAACTGGTTCAGAAAGTATGCCTGTGAAATATCAATGAGCAGCTTCTCTGTATCTCCTTCTGATTAAAATGCAGTGGCTTGCCTCCGCTCGCTGAGTCTTCAATCACTCTTCAGATGCTTCTGAATAAATATATACATTGTTTTTGCAAAGAATTGTTAAGATATAAAATATAGGTCCTGAAAGGGTAGAAAGCATCTGATCAGCCGTCTCGCACGCTGCATTGATGCGGGGTAGGACACCTCTGTGACAGCAGTGACATTGCTCTTAACAAGTCCAGTGAAAACGGTGAAAAGAAATATGCTCAGATCCTCTCCGCAGATATTTAAGCGGCAAGCAGGTTTTTCTTGTCACAAGAACTGTTGAAAGCACCAAGATTATAATTTAACACACGGTAACCCTCCTTCCAGCACCCTATCAACGCCGCTCACTGACTAACTCAGTTTACCTCATGGTGCCTTAAAGATCGTTACTGATCTCTTGCCAGCCAATGAAGAAAATGGGGATGCAGCCCGACTCGGCCATTTGACCAATAGAATTTGAATGTTGCGCATCATAGGCGGGACCTACGGCACAGTTCTGGGAATACGTGAGAGTTGAACAGTTACTTCAGATGAGCGATTTTACGAAGGACGTTACTTTAAAAAGTGTTAAAACATCTATACATGAACATATATATTTATAATAATGTTTTAATCTCTTATGTACGGTTGTAACACAGACTTACAGGAGGCAATTAAATTAATATTATTCAGACTTAGAATTTTTTATTTTTCTAATTTTGAATGCATATTTAAAAAAATAATATTATTCAGTAAAGGACATTTAAACTTATTTAATTTTTGTGATACAGTATGAGGAACACGCAAGGTTATCTGCCACTGCACTTCAATGTGAGGTGAACCCTTGCGAGCGAAGACTCCGTTGAGACATTTATGGTTCTACATTGTCATTAGTGTTGCCTTATTTCATGTACTGCTCGACTACTCCGGTTTTATAAAACATACAAGATGCATTTTACAAGGACACCTGTGTAGAATTAGCATATCTTGGTTATATGTCGTATATTTAATATTTATTTGTTGTTTATGTAGTGACCAGTGGCTATATGAATGCATCAGTTAATCTGGTCATAAGTACAAAGACGCTTCGTCCTCGGCACCAAACGTTTTATGTAATGACTTTCGCGTAATACAATGACATGTATAACCATGTAATTATTTTAGTCACGTTCTCTCTCTCTCTCTCTCTTTCTCTCTCTTTCTCTCTCTCTCTATTTCGACCCAAGTCTAGTGTTTCACTGGAAAACGTCTTTATGGATCATCAGTATACTTAGTTCCGGTAATTACTGGTTTATGGAAAGCTTTTGATCCATTCATTGTCTTCCAAACAGTTGTTTAGTTGCTCCTTGTGACTTGCCCTCCATCGACAGACGTTAACCATTCTGTAACACTGAATGACTTTCTATAGGTCCAGATGCTGGGCACGTAGCATGATCTCCATATTGGGGGTGGTTCAAATCAACATTGTTGTATAGTCTCACATGAAACCGCCCAAACAGCGTTGGAATTCTTACAATGATTCAGGACCTTCATGAGATGAAAAGTATACTGTTGATAATACTACACAATAATGTATTGGTCTATTTTAAATTAATGTCAACACATGTTTTCCACTGTCAGAATGTGTTCATAAACTATAAATGGCCTAACATAACACTAAATAGATAAAAAGATTGCATGAAATATTACTGGATTCATTTATCTTTGCAGTTTCCCTGACAATAAACTGCTCTTCCTTGAATTTAAATTCTTTCAGAGCCCTCAGCATCTCTGTGCCACCTGAACAGCAGCACCACCTATCAGATACTAGGGAAGGAGAAGTAAAGTCATATTTATCAGTTCAGTGCTTTTTGTCAGTGACGTTTTAAGGTACTTGCATACAATTTTTTGCAAATTCAAACAACTGTATTTCTTATTAAAATGCTATGATGCTTTTGTTGAGTACAACTGAAATATCTCAAATATCGTTTATGCAATGGAATCAACCCTAACCGTAACCTTGACTGCGCTTCCTTGACCACTATTCAATCTACCACCACAACCATATGTAGTATTCTAGTAATCTCATGCAAGCTGAATTTATGAGTTTAGTGTACAGACTTATTTACATTGGCAAATTAACTCCATATGCAATGAATGTATTGGTAAATAAGGATTGCTCTAACTTATATCCCACTGAAATTTGAAACAACATCATCAAGATTACATTAAGATATCCTGCCTGTTAAGAGTGAGGCCATTCTGATGAAAGTTTGCACCCTGGTCCTGGATCTATTGCCCTCTTGTGGCTGTTAATAAGATTTACAGCTGGGGGCAAATAACATACCAGTCACAGCTATGAGATGTACATACAAGCGGGCAACTATGCATTCTATTGCTCAGATTTGTTGTCAGGGTTTCCACTGTGAAACTAAATGTGCAAAAATCACTATCCAGTGCTGGAAAATCTGAGTTCAGTCTGGACTGTGGTTGATATCTGCCACAAATATGATATGCAGAGTGTGTCATTATCCTACTTAGAAATACCAGTGAAATAGTACTTCACATAGAGGGTCAGACTTCAAGTAACTGCTTTACGGACTCTGGATACAAAAAATAAGTAACTATTCTGTTACAGTTACTGGGAAAAAGAAACATAATCACATTACATTTAGTTTAAGGATGGTTTTCTGATATGTTTATAAAGACTGTGAAGCTGACGTCACACCATTTAAGTAAACAACACCTCTAATGAGATGTGTTGACGTACCTCTTGTAATCAATCCCTCCTACTTGCAGCTGGCTCCAGGATGCAGATGTACCCTTCTCGATCACTCTGATCTTTCTTCTTCTTCCTATTATTATTATTATTATTATTATTATTACCATACTGCATTTGACAAGAGCAACGCTGCTGTACCAAATGGATGCCCATCAAAAAAATCTGTTTAGTTCATGGAAATTTTGCGATTTTTTTCGTTTTTAAGGAGGAGCTGTGAAAATACCAGCAACATCAAAGTGTTTGACATCAAATTTAAGGAAACATTTATAAGTAAGACTATCAGACCTACAGTGGTTAAAATTGTTGCCTCACACCTCTGGGTCCTGGGTTCAAGTCTCTGGCAGCATTCTGTCCAGGGTTGTTCCCCCCCTTGTGCCCATATCGTCCGGGATCGACTGCAGACCCCTGTGACCCTGAATGGAGCAAAACCAATCCCTGTAGCAGCTTCAGAAAATGGATGGATGGACTATAAGACCAACCACTGACATTAGCTACAGAGATTCAGGTATTGATATCCACAGTTAGTTAGCAAAAGTATTATGCACTTTACACAGAGCTAGACAGGTTCATAGGCTATATGAATAATAATTCTACAAATTAACACAATATTGTACTAGTTCAGTTTTGTTTGTATATCCCAAATCACACAAATTCAGTTTTATTTGTAGAGCCCCAAATGACATTGACAAAAAAATATGATACCGTCTGTTCTTAAACCCTCATATAGGATAGGATCATTTGCTCATTGCTATTATTATTATTATTAGGCCGCACTGTATTCCGTTGTATGAGTAGTATTACTTTTTCTTTTCCGTGTCTAGAGGGGAAAAAATGCCAAGGGAAAAAACGTGTTTTGTCTCATGGCCTGACGGCATTCCGTAATGTGTGTGTGTGTGTGTATGTGTATGTATCTATGTTTTAACAACACATGTTTTGTTGCCTTATTAAAAGTGATCTTTTTGACATTTCTTTACCCTTGTCTTTAGTTAGCATCAGTGTAATCCAAAAGTAGCTAAAGGTGATTAGTTACATTTCTTATATTACATTTTTAAAGTAACTTACCAAACACTGGTTACATCAATATCTATTCCTCATGAATAGGAAGGTTTTCATGGATGGGTAGACAGGAAGAAATACTTGCTCTTGAAAAATATGGCCAAATGTTTGAAAACTGGAAGTGAAATAAAACATGTCGAACAATGTTTTCTGGGCAGACAATCTTTAAAACATTTTATCCATAATAGACCTAATACAAACACCCGCACAGTGGCAGTGTAGCTATCGTGGTCACTACACATCTGTGGAAACGTGGGTTTGAGTCTCCCCTTGGTTCTATATGTGTGAAGTTTGCAAGTTCTCCCTGTAGACCTGGGTTCAAGTCTCCACCCTGGCTGAACGTGTGTGAATGTTCTCCCCATGTCGCTGTGGGGTCTATCCCCACAGTCCCAAAACATGATGTGCATGAGCCCTGTGATGGGTTGGACATCGATGACCCTGCATAAGACAAACTGGTAAAAACATGGATGGTTGAAAAGCTGAACTGAGCTACAGTTTACTTGAATCCTGGAATTTTAAAAAAGTGGCTGATTGGATCCTACAGAAGGGTTTTGTTCAGATTATTGCTGTTATAAGTGGTGACACAAGTTACTGAATCAAGATGTGCACATTGACAGTAAAGTATGGAATGTTAGGAAATTTAATTTGAAAATCAATAAGGATTATAATTGCATGTAATTTGCTAATTACGCTTCAAATTACTGTTTATTAGTACTTGGAGAGTTCTTTGTATTAATTAGTTTATTCATGGTGTTTTTAAGTATTAAGTTACCCTGTAACATACATACATTTTCATTCAAGGCTTTCATTCCACCCAGGCTTGTTATGTTTTTATGTCAATTGTAGACTTTTACGCCTAATCTGAATAACAGGTCTTTGCAAAACAAAAGAGACTTTCATAAGATTTTGCAAAAGTAGCTTACTGAACGGTCCAAAATTACACTCCGTTATCAAAATTAAAACTGACAAACTATTGGTCACATGACTGCATCCTTAACCATCAGAGTACCTGTTGCTTTGATCGTGTGATGAAATAAAACTAATGTTGACACGTTAAGCAAAAGGACAGTACTCAAAATAAGTCATTTAAGTAAATGGAAGCAGAGATGTTATCAAATCTATGTAATATTTCAATCAGCGTTATTAATGTCAAGCATTAGTAAGACAAAAGAATTGGTTGTATTATTGCTAAAGCTAGGCATATTAAAGACATCAATCAAAATGAATTGAATTCTATCAGCCAGGACTTTCTACTGCCATGAAGCAAACTCTTATTACACCATGCACATTGTAAAACATATTGATTGAAATAATAAAGGTATTTTTGCTGGAAACACTTTAAATCAATTCAGCTTAGAGTGAAATGAAAAACACTACTAGAATATCACTTTTTTGATTGGGTGTGTGTGTGGGGGGGTGTGTGTTTAATTAATATTATGCCCCACAAAAAAAGTAGAAATGTCTTCCTTCACAGTGAAATAATGACAGTGTGCATATAGTAAATAATCCATTAAGCAGTACCATGACCATGCTGTGTAAACTTATCGCATAATGATTTTTCATCATTAGAGTGACAGTGTGATACAGAAAAGCATAGGAAGCATGCTGGTGCATGGTTTGTCATGTAAGGTTCCACAACTTGTTGCCCTTGTACCTCATTAGAACACCAGTGTAACCCCTGAGATATAATTTCGTCTGGCAGGAAGTTAAAAAAAAACCTCGATGGAGCTGGTTTCAGTCTATCTAATACTCGACAGTATGACTAAAGCTAGATGGCACAGTAGCTCAGATGATAGCACTGTTGCAGTATATCTGCAGGGTTTAGCTTATCGGCCCCACTCTACTCATTGTGTGTTTTCACATGTCTCCTCCCACAGTCTGAAAACATGATTAGGTGATTTGGTGCAAATTGTACATGGTTTGCGTTTATCTGCTCTGCGATGGACTGGCATCCCATCCAGGACGTTCCCCTGCTTCCTGGCTCACCAAGACCCTCTGCTGAGTTAGCATATTTGGACAGTCGATGGATTCATCACAGTGTTTGCTTTATTCTGTATTCAAAATAAACAAATCAGCTAAGCAAGCAAATAGAGTAAAAATATTCATAAAAGCACTTCATTCGTACTGTAGTTTGACTGAAACACACCCCTACTGGTGCAAGGTCGCATCAGCTCTGTACCATTTTTGTCAAGGTTTAGCCATTCAGTTATAATAACAAGTTGCTTTTAAGTTGTCTGAAAGATGTTCTCCCTCAAATCTGTCGTGAGGGTATTTGTTGAAAGTCGTCTTTATATGCCCCAGCGGCGACTTTCATACCTCAGACATTCCTGCAGGTACAAGATAAGCACACAAAATAGAAACTGTAATTATTGTTCTGTCAGTTAAAACCCAGGGAAATAAAAGATCAGCCTCTGACAGCAATTTGAATTGAGACAAATTCTTACTTTTTTAATGTTATATTTCTGTCTTTAACTGATGCTAAAAGAATGATTTGGAAAAAACAAAACACCCCCACCCATGTACAGTGGTACCCTCCCACCTCTCTTGTTGAAGGTGCCAAGAAGGATTCATGAAAAACAATTTTATGTGAGGCCTTGTGCTGCGAATTTCTGTCGGTGATGGGAATACAGACTTATATGAGATATATATGAGATGCATATCTGCGTATATTGTACTGATTTTTAACTTATATCAACCTGAACTAAAATTATAGATAAGTCAAATCACATTCTGAAACACCCCTCCATCCAAGTTAAATATTGCTGTGGTCCTGGAACTTATCCCAGGCAGCATGGGTAGGGCACAAGGCAGGGGAACACCCTGGACAAGATGGCAGTTCATTGTAGGCCACACACTCTTGGCATTTAGAGATGCCAGTTCACCTAACCCAGGGGTGGGCAATCTTATCCGCAAAGGGCCAGTGTGTATGCAGGTTTTTGGGGTAACTTTTAGGTCAGCTGTTCAAACACCAGTGTGAGGACTCTTCAGCCAAT